CAAGGGGAGGCTGGCTGCTGAGGAGAAAAGGGTAATTTTCTTCACCCTGTATTTTCCATCTCACCTTGCTGCCGTTTCCTTATGGCTTAGGCTATCCTAGTGGGTCTGGTTCTTGCCTTTCCAGCGGGGACTCAAAAGACGAGGGATCGTCCTCACCCAGCGGGTCTTTGGGAACCCTCCCTGGCAAAGGCACTCCATGGGCGGAGCGGGTGGTAGGTCTGCTCTGCGAGCTGCACCGAGCCTTTAGAGAGCTGGGTGAGGGGAGGCACAAAGTTGGTGACTGTATTAGCAATGGAGAAGGGCATGCTCTCTGGAAACCAGCTGCGATTAGCTCCAATAACTGAGGCACTTGAGAAGGGAGAAAGCAGAAAGCCCCGTGGGAATGAGTGAAATGTTTTGTGCTTGCTCTGAGGATGTGACTGTGCATGGTGACAAGGGGGGGGGGGGGGGGGGGGGCGCGCGGGGAAGGACCTCACACCTACCAGCAAGTGCTTCCTTCAAATTGAATAGGATTTTGACAGACATTATTTTAAAATCCACCCCACAACAAAAAAAGTTGGCAAGACCTGCCCTTTAACCTCAGCCAGAATCTGCATAGCCAGGATTTCTGTATTTGAAAATCTGGGCAAGGAGGTTCAGGACCGTGTACACTGCAGTGCTATTTGTGCCTCTGCTGTCTTGCAAGGAGGGCAGAAAGCGGGGTGGGGGGGGAGGAGGGGGAAGATCAGCTTTGCTTATCTAACGCCCCCTCCTCTTCAACCATCATCACAAACCATCATTAACTGCTATTAATCCCAGTGCTTTAAGGGTCACCTTGTGCTACCTGGCAGCTCTGAGCACCTAGGAAACCTAAGGTCTGAAGTCAATGACATTTAAAATCGTAGGTTATGGTGCAAATTCACAGCTGAGCTGATGGAGCAGCAAAGCATGAAATACACCAACAGTGAACTACAGGTTCCTAGGCTTGCTTGTTGTCATGTGGTCGCTGAGAAAACTATTTTATGTACAACCAATGGGCTGTCGTAAAGACACACTAGTTCAGCAAACATTTTCTAGCAGAAGAAACCATAGAAAAATACCTTGCACATGGAAAATCTGCTGCTTTCTTTTCTGACCAACAAGGGCTATGTAGCAGTATTATATAACTTACAAATTTTCAGCTACTGTACTTATCCTATTTTCTTCCCTTGGTGCTCAAACAAATCACCAGTACACCTCAGAATCAGGACATTGCATTTACCGTGCCTTTCTGTCCAGGATAAGTTATCTATGTGAACATGGCGGGAGAGAGGGGAAGACTAAATCCTTCAGAGTCAAGTGAGTACAGAGAAAAAGGTTATAGTAGTTTAATGTTTGCAGACAGTGTGTCTCTAAATTTAAAGAGAAATGCTGCTGATCAGTATGACTAAACATTTTTGCCTTTGTACACTGGCTAGACTTGGAATATTCTGGTTGACACTTGCTACAGTTTTATATTTTATTATTGTAGTGACCTATCCCAACTGGAAACTTGCAGCTTTATCAGCAAATGCCTTTTCTCACAAAAATAACATCATATTTCAGTATTACTTTTTTTAATGTACTTTGCAGTCATAAATGAACAGTAACAAAGCTGCAACATTTTCTGAGTTGAGCACCAGTCACCACATCTGTTTCCTTTTCTTTCCCCCATTTCATACATTCCTACCCCTAGCCCTTCCCAAATCCCAACTGCTCAGACAACTGATCTAATCTGCATATTTCTCTTTCAGAGACTCTGAAATGCCTG